ATGGTCACGCCGCAATCCCTTCTCCTCCATTCTCCTCTCGGGATCTTGGGCACGCACACACACGCGCCCAGCGTGAGATTTAAGCCACCGGGTCCGAGACCTGAACCGCGGTCGACTACATGGGAGTCCAGCTACATAGCCATTATGCTAACTGCTGGTTCCCCTCCTAGCACGAGTTTTAAGTCGTTGTGTCCAGGGCTTGAACAATGGTACACTACATGGGAGTCCAGCAACATAACCATGACACCATCTGCCGGTCCCTAAATTATAGAAGTTTTAAAAGTCCAACCTAAGGGCAAGCAGTGGCATGGTGGTTAAGGCGCTGGACTCCCATATGGTCAACTATGGTTTGAGTCCCGGACCTGGTGGCTTGCTTTCTCTCTGTCTCTGGTGAGCACATGTGCTCTATGGCAAATAAAATAATAATAAATAAAATTAAATAAATCTTTGTTTTAAAGTTCAACCTAAGATTCCATATGGAAACCTCTAAACAAAAGCTCGAATGTCTCATATTTGCAAAAGTTATAATTCCCAGAGCAAACTCAAGGAAACCCGTGTGTTTAATTTACACCTCATTGTACCTGGGGAAACAGCCGAGTGGAGCTAATGAGATCAGCCTTGTATGCGTTGAGAAAAGCTTTGGAGGTTATTTCTGATCACACAACAATTGCCTGGAACTTGGAAACAGGCAACAGGGCGACAGCACATCCTTTCAATATTGCACAGAGGCAAAGACTATGCAAGCATTGTCTAGACTAGTAGACTTCCTTCACCTCATTGTTTACCTTTAACTAAAGACCCAGACTTATTGAAGTTATTCGTTAACATGTAGATTTTTTTCCCTCTTTTTTTTGGAGAAGTGTTTGCCATAGGGCATGTATGCTCGCTAGACAGACAGAGAGAGACAGAGAGACAGAAAGTGAGAAATCACCCCCCAGGGGAGATGGTCACGCCGCAATCCCTTCTCCTCCATTCTCCTCTCGGGATCTTGGGCACGCACGCACACACGCCCGGTGTGAGTTTTAAGCCACCGGGTCCGGGACATGAACTGCGGTCAACTACATAGTCCAGTGACATAGCCATTAGGCTAACTGCTGGTCCCAACATGTAGATTTTTGTCCAGGGAAAGTAAAAATAATTTTTGCCTAGTAGAAATAATAATCCCAAAGATGTATGGCCTATTGAACATTAGCCATTTTTTAAAAAAATTGAACTCAGCCATCCTTTTTTAAAATTTAACTTAATTAATTAATTAATTTAATTTTAATTTAACCAAAGAGGGACAGAGAGAGAGAGAGGGAGGGGAAAGTGAAAAACTAAGCCACCAGGTCCAAGACTTGAACCGCAGTTGGCCATGTGAGAGTTCAGCGTCCCTAACCACCACGCCATCTGCCAGCCCCGAACTCAGCCATCTTATCCTAATACCTTTTTTGTCAAATCACCTATACATATCCTAGCTTCTCAAATGCTCTTTGAATTAGTGGTAGTATCTTACTTGTTCCTTCATTAATAATAATTGGACCAGCTCCATGGCCCGGTGGTTAAAGGCAGCCAGATCCCATATGGCCGAAGATGATTTGAATCCTGGCCCTGGCTGCTCGAGGAACGCTAGGAGTGCGTGGTGTGTGCCCGAAATCCCAACCGCGGGGAGAGATGGAGGAGAAGGGGTGCAGCGTGACCATGCCCCGTGGGGACTATTTTCTCCCTCTCTCTCACGAGAGAGAGATGGAGAGAGGTAGAAGAGGAAATACACTCCCTCTAGCAACAGGGAGAAAAATATATTAATATTATTACTAGGTTGTCGGAAAAATCATGATGTATTTTTAAAATGTTTTTCTATGCAAAAGTGTGTCATGACTTTTCCAATGATCTAGTATTATTATTATTATTTAGATAAGACCTATGATAACTTTTTTTTTCTTTTTTCTTTTTTAGACAGATTTTTGCTGTAAGATGTGTGCACTCACCAGAGAGACAGAGAGACAGAAAGCAATAAATCACCCCCCGGGGAGATGGCCACACTGCAATCCCTTCTCCCCCATTATCCTCTCAGGATCTTGGGCACGCATGCACATGTGCTTGGTGTGCGTTTTAAGCCACGGGCTCCACGACTTGAACCATGTTCGACTGCATGCCAGTCCAGCAACATAACCATTATGCCATCTACTGGTCCCGATAAGTATTGTTTTTTATATTTATGTGAAAATCCTTTTTCTAACCTTTTTTAAAAATTTGTATTTTGGGGAAGAAGAAGAGGTGAGAGTGACCCCCAGACCGACCGAAGCCTATGTGCCGCTGCATCCCCCGCGTCCAGCGCCTACGTCCCACCATTGCCACCATGCCCAAGAGAAAGGCTGAAGGGGATGCTAAAGGAGACACAGCCAAGGTGAAGGACGAACCACGGAGAAGATCTGCAAGGTTGTCTGCGAAACCTGCTCCTCCAAAGCCAGAGCCCAAGCCTAAACAGGCCCCTGCAAAGAAGGGAGAGAAGGTGCGGGAGAAGCTGATGCTGGCAAGGATGGGAATAGCCCTGCAGAAAATGGAGATGCCAAAACAGACCAGGCACAGAAAGCTGAAGGCACTGGAGATGCCGAGCGAAGTGTGTGCATTTGTGATAACTGTGTACTTCTGGTGACTGTACAGTTTGAAATACTATTTTTAACACATTTTATAAAAATGCAGAATTGTGTTTTACCTTTTTCTTTTTAAGCTACACTGTTAGCACACAGAATACTTCATTGTTGTTTTTGGGGGAAGGGGCACTTGTCACTAATAGAATGTCTCTGAAGCCAGAAAAAAAAAGTTTGTATTTTAGGGTCTGGCGTGTGGCCTAATGGCTAAGGGAACCAGATCTCACAGAGCCAAGCATGCGGTCTGAGGCGTAGACTACAGGGTCAGTTCTGATGGGAAAACAACACCTGGACCGAACAGCAGCTTCAGGAGACAGCGGGCCCAGGGAGTCTCTCGAAATCCACATAAACCCTTTTGCAGTGAATGAGAAGAAGCCCAAGATAACTGGTCAACCTTGGTCTAGGCCACAGCCCGAGACTCCCTATTGGGACGCGCTCATGGCTGACATGTTTCACTGCAGTTTAGTCATTGACTGCTACCCAAGATAAACTTCTCTGCTCAATGGGCCCAAAATTATACCATTTGCAAGTTATTTCTTTGGCTTAAAGTCCTTTCCTTAGTTAGAATGCAAGTGTTTCTGGAAGAAGTTAACACATAACACGTATCAGTCATTTACACATCAGTATAAACAAATCTCTAGCCTTTTGTGAGAGTAAATTTAGGTGAGAGAAAGAGGAAAGGGCAGGCAAACCCTGCCTTCCTAGGATGGGGAGCCTCCGGAGGCCGCATGAAAAGGACTCAGGAAGTCGAGATGGGGGCCTCAAGCTTACCGCCAGGTCCTCACGGGTGACAAAGCCTCTCTCCTTGGCACCGCAGTCCTGAAAGAAGCCCTGCAGCTCCGCAGCTGCCTGGGAGGACCAGAAGCCTGGCTCCGCGACCACAGGGGCGTCCTGGCCATCGGCTGGCTCTCTCATCTGCCGACGGCGGCTGGATCCCAGCTTCCGGCCTTTCCGAGACACTCTCTGTCCACTCTCCATGGTGCCTTGACCCTGGGATCAGAGGAAGCATGAGAGGCACTGAGTCCCTGAACACAGCAGAAACCTCCACGGCTCCCTCCCAGTGCTGGAAGAAAATCTGCTGAGGCTGACAGAGTCCTGCTTGATCCATCCCCTGGCCTGGCTCTTCGACCTTACCTCCCACCCACCCCGTGGCCTCCAATATACCTCCTCAGAGTCTCTGCCCTTCTAAGTCTCCTGGGCCCGGGATGCCCTCCTGCAGGCTACCCACACGGCCCCATCTCCTCCCCATGTCTACCCGATGATCAGAAGCTTGCTCTGACCACCGTGTAAACGGCCCCCGTGCAGCATAAAGCCCTGTTTTTTGACAACAGCAGGAGCTCCTGGGCAAGTTCCCGCATAGGCTATAGAGGCCTTGGGTCAGGCAATGCCTCATGCGGGGGTGCCCAGCTTTAATGTGAGGCAGCCTCTTACTCTCCCTCTTCTCTCTCTCCCCTTCTCCCAGCCATCAGTGGCTGTTTCAGATGCCACTTTAAGATCACAGATATAGGGACCAGCAGTTGGCGTAATGGCTATGTCACTGGACTCCCATGTAGTCGACTGCGGTTCGAGTCCCGGACCCGGTGGCTTAAACTCACTCTGGGCGCGTGTGTGTGTGTGCCCAAGATCCCAAGAGAAGAATGGAGGAGAAGGGATTGCGGCATGGCCATCCCCCCTGGGGGGGGGGCATTTCTCGCTTTCTGTCTCTCTGTCTGTCTGGCAAGCACACATGCCCTATAGCAAAAACCTCTCCAAAAACACACACACACACACACAGATATAAAACTGCCATGGTGTTGGTGTTCTGGAGCCAGATATCAGGGACAGCAGATAACTGGGCACAGCCCTTCCTAACTCAGTGACTTGGAATCAGCTGCAGTGGGAGGATTTATACCATGGGAATGACAAATGCCCCAGGTCGGGTTTTATTTCCCATGAAGCACAATCCCCAGTACATCTCTTCTGAACAAACGTCTTTCCGCCTCTGCCCCACGCCAGATCCATCCTCACTCCCACAGCGAGCTGATAGAGCGTCCTCTGAACACCAGCACCGCACCGAGCAGGCCTGCCCCAATCTGCACCGCTCCTTCCAGCAAACTACGAACAGCGCCCTGTGCTCCTGCAAACACCACCCAGTGCCAGGGCTCGTGGTTCGGCCAGTGGACTGACCCGGGCCCCACTCACTGCTTGGCTTGCCACCCTGCGCAGGACGCGAACTGCACTCCCAGTCAGAGCTCTGGCCCTGCAGGTACAGGTGCGACTAACTCCTGGAGGTCCTCACAGCCTCCTGCAGGGCAAATCCAAGATCATTACAGTGCACTATGGAAGGGACTGCAGATCTGTGTGCCAAGGACTACGACAGCACAGGAAAAGGAGCCGCTTACTGGTCAGGGCCCATCGTGGGGCTTCCTGGAGGAGGTGATATACAGTCTTTTAAAAGTTGGTGGAAAGGGTGTATTATGAAAAAAATATGGGGACTGGCAGGTGGTGTGGTGGTTAAGGGCACTGAACTCCTACATGGCCAACCGCAGTTCAAGTCCTGAACCTGGCAACTTGCTTTCTTACTTTCTCTCTTTCTCTTACTCACTTACTCTGTCCTTTTCTGGTCAAATTAAAATAAAATAAATAAGTTAAATTTTAAAAATAATTCTTAAAAAATAAAAAAACTCTGTAGGGATTTCAAAAAAATTTTTTTTTTGCTAAAATAAACTCATACTTTAATTCTATCTTGCACAGCGAATGAGCAGCAGAGCGCGGAGAGGAAGAGGTCAGTGATTTCGAGCACCGCGCCTGGCAGCCACGCCCTCCCCAGGGCCTCCTTTCCACATCTCTGGGACAACAGCATGGGGCTGACTTTCTCTTTTCCCCCTGATACGTAAACATCTGTTAGAGACATTTGCCCCCCAGATATTGGGGTACAACTCTACAACTCTACTAAAATCTCTTTCTTTGTGATGTTTAGTGGACATATAGTAATCGCAGTAATTACAGGTTCAGTTCTTTTTTTTTTTTTTTTTGTGAGGGTTTTGCTATAAGGCGAGTGCACTCGCCCGAAAGACAGAGACGGAGAGACAGAAAGACAGAGAGGCAGAGAGACAGAAAGTGAGAAATCACCCCCCAGGGGGGATGGTCACACCGCAATCCCTTCTCCTCCATTCTCCTCTCGGGATCTTGGGCATGCACGCACATGCGCCCGGCGTGAATTCAAGCCACCGGGTCCGGGATGCAAACCACGGTCAACTACGTGGGAGTCCAGCGACATAGCCATTACACTAACTGCTGGTTCCCAGGTTCAGTTCTAAGAGAGCTTGAATACCTCGCTGGCGATGTCAGATCCTGAGTCAGAGGAGGTCTGTACTGTGGCATCCAGGCACTTTAAGGGACAGCCAGTGCGTGGGGCTGAGCCTCGTCTGTGCTGATGATCTGTGAGTCTTGCCCTGCTCGGAGCCCACCAGACCGGAGGGTCACAGGTCATGGGGGCAGAGCGTTCCCTCCTAGGAGGATGGCAAGTGGGATGGAAGGTGTCCTTCTGGGTGTGGACAGATGTGGCCCGAGGAGGGTTACCCATCTTATTGCTTCCATGGGGCAACATAGGGGTGAAGTGGGCATGGGAGATGCTGGGTGAAGGGCAGGTAGATCAGGGTAGGTTTCCCTGGTCTAACTCCCAGAATCTCATTCTTGGCATTTTTTTTCCTCTGTGCTTTTTTTTTTAAATGGATATTAATTATATTGAAAGTTAGAGCTAGAAGTACCCTTATAAATCATTTGATAGGGGCAGCAGGTGGCATGGTGTTTAAGACACTAGACTTCCATGTGGCCAGCTGCAGTTCGAGTCCCAGACCCAGCAGCTTGAAACACACTGATGCATGTGTGAGCGTGCCTCAAATCCCGAGAGACGATGGGAAGAGAAAGGATTGTGATACGGCTGTTCCCCTGGGGGGTGATTTTTTCTTTTCTGTCTCTCTCTGTCTCTCCAGTGAGCACACATACCCTAAAGCAAAAATCTCTCAAAAAAATCATTTGGTGGATCGAGCCGGCCAGCAGTTCTGGACACCAGGCGGACTGAGGCTGCAGGCCCGACCAACCTGGTACTGTCACTCATCGTCTGATCCCTTTCCACTAGCCTTTGGACTGTTTGAATTTTGGTGATCTGAGTAGCACGCGGCGCGCAACCGTGCCACACGATTTACTTTTTCCATTTTGTTTTTCTTTGCTCTTGGGGTGTTGCTTATTAGGTCAGTGGAAGGCTCACCACTCCTTAGAAACAACGAGGGCTTTGTGCCATCCAGGGCTAGTGGCGACAGTTAATGGTAATTGTGAGGAACAGGTAGGCCAACCATAAGATAAATCATCAATTTTCTAAGCCTGTACAACTTTTAAGAATCAGAGATACCTTAAATAAGTTAGGAAGCAACATATAGATCACCTGATGACTAGGAACAATTGCAGAGGCTCAAGAAATATGAGCAACCAACAAAAGGCCTCTCCGTCAAGGGAAATCATCAATCCTACATCACCCACAGTCAATACAATGGACGTCGTGGACATGTCTGATAAGGAATTCAGAATATTTGTAGTGACCAAACTAACTGAGATGGAAGAGAAAAGAGACAAGGAGCT